CAAGTTATCCAACCTGATAGGCATGTACCGTTACTTGTCAGAACACGTAAACTGCAATGTGATCGCGCCAAACGACCGCCTCCCGGTTGGTTGGCTGGCCGTGCTGCGGCGCGGGCGGAATATGGAGACGGCACCTGGGTATATTTACCCTCCAGCCCCATTACTCTGTACTTTTGACCGGCGAAAGTGGTACGCTACTGCAGCTGCTGTCCCAATCATCTCGCACCTGGCAAGGATCACGATCCAGGGAGGTGAGTGTACAGTTTTCCTTTGAGCTCGGCTCTCCAGAGAAGCTACTCCTTCTGGGACGAGCACACTGATCAGAAAACACAATAGTTCGAGCTCATACTATGAGCTCGAAATAGGCCTTCAGAGGGAAAGAAATAAGCTCTTACCTCCCAATGTGCCAAACCGGTATTGAGCGTGAAAGAAGATGGATAGGAAAGAATCTCTGCACCCTTGTAACGATTATAGAGAGCTAGTTCAGGAAATCGAAGATCATAGCAAATGGACAGGCCAAGTCGTCCAACTGGAGTATCTACGGGTGGGACCATCTGAAAACAAGTTCCTTTTGAACTACCTAGAAACAAACTTGCACTCAACAAACGTGAATAGTAAAACGTGGAGAAATATTAATTTCACCCCGAATAATCAATATGAACATACCCTGTCACCTCCTTTGCTGAATTCACTTTCCATAAGTCTCACTTTTCCTGGGATTTCCAGATCGAAAAGATGCAGCTTGTTATACAACGCTCTTGTCGCGCCCTCACTGTCAATGACTATATGAGAGTTCCAGGGCATCTGAGGACCAGACGGGTCCTGAAGACTTCTGAGCATTGTTTAAGCATACAGGAGAAAGACGGAAAAAGTTCCATTCTATGGCGCACAGAAAGTATTCAAACTCGATGTTCATTTTAAAGGCACACCCCTCACTGATCGTATGGGCTCTCCAGCATATCATATGTGAGGTGGGCTGGTAGTTGCAGTAACGTGCCGATCTCTCCGCTCGAAAGTATACATGAACGGCAGTAACACCCAAGTGCCGTTTCTGGACTCCGCCCGCACCACAGTATGGTCATCAGCACTCCTAACCATAGCTAAGCGCGCTAATTGTAGGCGCCCTCTCAATTCTGGGTTCTCTGCTTCTGAATGCGGGTTCGCTTCAAGCTTTGGGTATCGACGCGTGTGCTCTACTTTGATGGTGGCATGGGACGATGGAGTCCGGAGACGGCACCCCGGTATCACTACCCTTCAGCCCTATTTCCGCGCGTCCTGAGTGATGAAAGTGATAGGCTTTCACAGCTGCTAATCCATTCTCATCA